ATTCCATTTTTCTATTCTATTCCTTACTCTATTCTACTCCATTCCATTTTTCTATTCTATTCCTTACTCTATTCTACTCCATTCCATTTTTCTATTCTATTCCTTACTCTATTCTACTCCATTCCATTTTTCTATTCTATTCCTATTCTATTCTACTCCATTCCATTTTTCTATTCTATTCTATTCCTTACTCTATTCTACTCCATTCCATTTTTCTATTCTATTCCTATTCTATTATACTCCATTTTTCCATTCCATTCCATTCTATTCCTTATTCTATTCTTTATTCTATTCTAATCCTTACTCTATTCTACTCTATTCTATTTTTCTATTCTATTCTTTATTCTATTCTATTCCTTACTCTATTCTACTCTACTTCATTTTTCTATTCTATTCTTATTCTATTCCTTATTCTATTCTATTTTATTTTATTCTACTCTACTCCATTCCAGTTTTCTATTCTTTTCCATTCTATTCTATTCTAAGAAGAGACTGGCCAGCCCTTTGTCTGAAGCGGTCTAGGGCTGGACTAGAAGACCTCCAAGGTCCCTTTCCAACGCCGTTATTCTGCTAAATAACCCGTGTGGATGCCCAGAGTTGAATTTCCATGCTGCCACAGTGGTTGAAAGCGAATTAATAAAATCATCAAGAAAAAGAAGTGGCAAAGAGCTGTAGAGGCTCATTCCATAATTTGAAATTATGAATTCCGTGGTCCCTGAGGTCCGAAAGGTTAGTGACCCCTGGACTAAGACACTAAAACATAAACTAATCCACCCAAATAAACTATTTTTTTTCGCAGTTCGGTTTTATGGCAGTCTTTCAAAAGAGACTCTCCTGGTTCACATCTTTTCTGTCGGAAAGAATCGTCCACGCCTTGGGCACTACCAAACTCAGCTCTACCTTTATTTCAACAGTACTTTTTAAAAAAACATAGTAAATTTTTCCATGAACAGAAGAAAAAAACCTGATTGGTGTCTTCGCATTTTCAACACTGTTAAAGGTTACCTGATTTTTAAAATCACATGTCTAGTGGAAAAGGTGTAGGTCTCTTAAAACTATCGCTTTCCAGTACCTTAAACCCTGTTGGCTGGGTATTTTAGGGTTTGTCACAATATATGGAGGTCCTGACATTTTCTCCTTCTCAAAGTCACGGAAAAATAGATCTCACAACACATGTCATTTTTTTTTCTAGTCCGAGCATCTTAAAAACATCTCTGGGTTATGATGTGAAATATGTCAGGGTAATAATGATTTAATACTGACCAGCTGTTATAAGGCTGTAAACTGAGATAATGATGAGGATGAACCAGCAGGGTTACTGCCACTTTAAGAAGCTGTATATATAAAGGAGGCCATGTGAGAATGTCTCTCTTCGTCTTCTATCTCCATTGTGGTTCCCCATGTAGAAGACTGATTGCTTGCCTGGTATTTGCCTAACCTGTGTATGTAGGTATATATAAGTCTTGTATATAAACCATTGTTTGAAAGACAAAACCTGTGTACTGTATTTTGCTCCCGAATTGCCTCTAAATAGTCGTCACGCTATGCGGCAAAGAGAAAAAAAAAGCTTTCCAGAATATCAAAACCGCGTTGCAAACACAAGAGCAACAAGGAGACAGCTTCTACAGATAGTCCTCGACTTACGACGGGAGCTCAAAATTTGTTAAAGGAGACAGTAGCGAAGTGAGTTGTGCTCCCTTTTACGATCTTTCTGCGCCACTGTTGTGAATCGCTGCAGTCGCTAAATTATCCCGGTTATTAAGTGAATAGCTTCCCTATTGACGTCGCTCGTCAGAAGGTTGCAAAAGGGGAATCACATGAGCCTGGGATGCTACGACTATCGTAAATAGGAACCAGATGCCAAGCGTCCGAATTCTGATCGCGCGACCACAGGGAGGCTGCAATGATCATCCGCGTTATTTTTTTTTCAGTGCCGTCCAAGTATGAAAACTCCAAGTATAAGCCCCTCGGCTTACGAATTGAATCCGATATTTCGGTTGCTGAAGTTCATTGTTGAAATTCCGCCCCTGCCCGGAGCGATCCCTTTTTAGGAGTGCTCGGGGGCGCCCACCCCATGCCCGTTGATGTGAGGGTGCGAAGGCACCGAGGCCTGTGGGGCGGGAAGATTCTGCTCCATCGCGCTGGCGGCAGCAGCCAGGGAGGTGATGAGGCTTTCCAGAGGCGAGCCCGCCGATTCCTCTCTCCCGTAGGCTTCGGAAAGAGAGAGATTGCTGGCATCGCAGACGCCGTAGCTTGGCGGAACGAGATGCCCGTGAAGGCAGCGAGGAAAGAGACGAGAGAGAGAGGGAGAGAGAGGAAAAAGGGGGAAAGAAGAAAGCGAGAGAGAAAGAGAGAAGCAAATGCGTTACGAAAACAGCCATATCTTTCAGAAGGCAGTAGCAACAATTTGCAGGCTCCCTCTTCAGAATCAGATTTATATATATATATATATATATATATATATAAATATATATATGTATTATGTCACAACCCCTGGTATGCCCAAATATGGAGGTAGCATACTGCTTCCTTTCTCTGTCTATTGGCTCACCCCAGGAGACCATCCAGACAGAAAGCCATTATTTTTAATGTTGTCTTTTTGTTACATTTGTGCTGATACTTATATATATATATATTCATCCCACAGGCAGTCCTGGATTTACGACAATTCACTCTTGCTAAGTGAGACAGGTTGTTAAGTGAACGGTGCCTCACTTGATGACCTTCCTTGCCACCGCCGTTAAGGAGATCACTGCAGCTGTTCTATTACTAACGTGGATTGTTCAGCAATTTGGGCTTCCCCCCCTTGAGTTGGCTGGACAGAAGGTCACACCAGCTGGGGAGATTTTAAAGGGAGTAAAGCAGTGCTTTTCTATCCAGGGGCCTTTGGTTACTCTTTCCTCTTTTTAGAGCTGGCCCTCGACTTACAACAGTTCATTTAGCGACCGACGTTACAACGGCACTGGAAAAAGCGACTTCCGAACCGCTTTTCACACTTACAAATTTCAAAATTCAAAATTCAAACGGTGACAGAAGCAACTCACGTTGAACCCTGACTCATGTTTTTGCGACCTTCTGACAAGCAAAGCCAATTTTTTTTTTGGGGGGGGGAGCCTGATTCACTTAACAACCGTTTGACTAACTTAACAACGGCAGTGATTCACTTCACGGCTATGCCAACAAAGGTGGTTAAATGGGACAAACCTCCCTTAACAACAGGAAGGTTGGGCTCGATTTGGTCGTAGGCCGAGGACTACCTGTATTTTGTAGGGGATAAATCTCCCAACTCCTGCCCCTCCAGGAGCCTTGCTCGAAAGCCATCAGAAATTGCAAAAGATGGCAGATACAGTAAATTGCCAAAAAGAGAAGGCACAAGCTAAGCATAAGAAACAGAAGGAAGAGTAAAGGGATCATCAGACAAGCCGTGGGTTAAATATATATAATACATAATCAAGAAATAAAATAAAAACTAGCCCAAAGTTGACATTTTTTTTTATCCTACCAGAGTTTTATTTATAATAAAGCTGCAGCAATCATTAGGGGACTGGCATATATTATTAAAGATATATGATTTTAAAAAAAAACTAAGAACATCATCGAACTCTTAAATTAAAATAAGATCCCGGCGATTGCAGACCGAGGGCAATCCCCACCACCACCACCACATTTAAATCCCAAACTAGCAAGATTGTCTTGGGGCATTTCCCTTTTTAAAAGTTGCACGGAATTGCAAGCAAGGAAAAAGGAGTGGCTTGATGGTTTTGAGGATGGACAGAACCAACCCCGGAAATATTTAATATTAAGCACGGGTTTAAAAAAACAAAACAAACCAAGAGTTTAAAAAAGTTTCAGAATGCAACCCAAAGAGGCCATAGTCTGATTACCCCGAGATTTCTCCATGGATTTATTTGTACCTGGAAGAGTAATACTCCTCTTCCAGTTCGTAGAGGTCGATGGAGATTTCATCCCGCAGGGCGATGAGTTTCTTGTCGCATTCCTCCTGCAGAGCCCGCAATTGCTGATTGCGCTGGTTGATGGCTTCGTTGACCGAAGGAAAGTCATTAAGGATTAAGAACTGCTTCAGATCGGACACCAGCTTCATTAAGGACTCGCCAGCTCGGACCTGATGGGGAAAATCCATATACAATGGTTACCTGGGAAGTCAAATGCTTTGAAATTCACCAGATTTGACACGGAAATTTTATCTCGGGAATAGAATAGAAATTAGAATAGAATAACAGAGTTGGAAGGGACCTTGGAGGTCTTCTAGCCCAACCCCCCTGCCTAGATAGGAAACCCTACACCACTTCAGACAAATGGCTATCCAACATCTTCTTAAAGACGTCCAGTGTTGGAGTATTTACAACTTCTGGAGGAAAAGTTGTTCCACTGATTAATTGTTCTCACTGTCAGGAAATTTCTCCTTAGTTTTAAGTTGCTTCTCTCCTTGATTAGTTTCCACCCATTGCTTCTTGTCCTGCTCTCAGGGGCTTTAGAGAATAGCTTGACTCCCTCTTCTTTGTGGCAGCCCCTGAGATATTGGAAGACTTCTATCATGTTACCCCTAGTCCTTCTTTTCATTAAACTAAACATACCCAGTTCCTGCAACTGTTCTTCCTATGTTTGAGCCTCCAGTCCCCTAATCCTCTTTGTTGCTCTTCTCTGCACTCTTTCAAGGGTCTCAAAATCTTTTCTACATCGTGGCGACCAAAACTGGATGCAAATATTCAAAGTGTGGCCTTATAAAGTGGTATTAACCCTTCACGCGGTCTTGATTCTATCCCTCAAATACTGGAAGACTGCTATCATGTCTCCCCTAGTCCTTTTTTCCATTAAACTAGACATACCCAGTTCCTGCAACCGTTCTTCCT